TGGCATCCCAGCTCACAGCAACCTCCAACTCCTGGGCTCAAGCAAGTCTCCTGCCTCCGCCTCCCAAGTAGCTGGGACTACAGGTGCCCGCCACAACGCCAGGCTATTTTTTGATTGCAGCTGTCATTGGCGGCCTGGGCTGGATTCGAACCCACCACCTTAGGTGTACGTGGCTGGCGCCTTAGCCACTTGAGCCACAGGCGCTGAGCCCAAGAAAAAAATTATTGCTCAAGATGATACGATTTGCAAACAACAGCGGTAAGACTTGAACCCACATTCATGTACTGCCAAGTCCTGCTATCCTGCCTTCCCGACAAAGAGATGGGATAATTTAGTGTGACATAAAAGGAATGAATTGGGTGAACTAGGACTAGTCAGAAGGGCCAGGTTGTGGAATAATTAATTTCAGCAAATAGGAATACATCCCTGTCAAAGTTATCTTAAATTTTAACAGCGATGAGCCAACTTCAGATGTCCCCTGAGGTGGCAGTGAAGCAGCACGTAGATTTAACCCTGATTCCAGTCAAGAAGAGTCCAGGAGTTCGAACAGAAAGGCAGCAACAACAGCACTTGCTCAACAGAAGCAGGGGTTACAAAGAGCAGACAGGACTTAGGGGAAAGGGCTTGGGGGAAAGTTCCATATTCTACCTCAATACAGATAATTAGCAAAACTTACTGGTATTTGCAAGCTCTGTGACAAATCACTAAATTTCCCTGGGCCTCATTTTCTCCATCTGCAAACTAAGTAGGCTGAACTGGAAGACTTCTGATTTATTTTTAATATTTATTTATTTATTTATTTGAGACAGTTTCGCCTGGTCACACTTTGTAGAGTGCTGTGGCATCTTAGATCACGGCAACCTCAAACTCTTGGGCTTAAGTGATTCTCTTGCTTCAGCCTCCTCAGTCTGCCCCAAAGCCTGCCTATTTTTAGAGACAGGGTCTCACTCTTGCTTAGGCTGGCCTCTAACTCCTGAGCTTAGGCAATCTACCTGCCTCGGCCTCCCAGAGTACAAGACCTCTAATTTCACCCAGAGGCTGGAATTGATGTTAAAAATCAACCAGTCCAAATAATTAAAAAATTAAAAGAAAAAAAAATCAACCTGCATGATGTCTGCCACTCCTCCCACAGGTCCCTTACAGTTCTGGCCTCACTCCAATAAAGTTATAGCCAGTCCACTTTGCCAACTCTGAGCTTGATTCTGTTCCTCTGTGGCATCAGTCTTTGGCTTTCCTTTCTTACAGGTTGACTATCCCTTATCTATAATGCTTGGGACCAGCAGCATTTTGGACTTGGGATTTCTTTTCAGATTTTTTGGAATATTTGCATTATACTTACTAATTCAGCATTCCTAATCTGAAAATTTCAAATCCATCATGTTGGTGCTCAAACATTTCAACTTTAGAGATGCATTTCAGATTTTCAGATTTGGGATTCTTAACCTGCCCTGGTCCCCTCCAGCTACAACTTAGAATGTGGTAGAGCCTTAAAATGAGGTGCTATTAAATATAATGTACTTCTATTTATAATCAAGATAATGAGCTCTCGCCAGGCGACCTGGACGTTGTGCTTGTGACCACCCCTTTCCTCTTCTCAAAATCCCTCCAGTTCTTTCTTTCCAACTTGGGCTCAGCAGAATGGCTCCCGCAAGGAAGGGTGGTGAGCAGAAGGGCCGTTCTGCCATCAAAGATGTGGTGACCTGAGAATACACCATCAGCATTCACAAGCGCATCCATGGAGTGGGCTCCAAGAAGCGTGCTTGCTCCTCTGGCACTCAAAGAGATCCAGAAATTTCCATGAAAGAGATGGAGACTCCAGCTGTGCCCACTGATACAGGCTCAACAAAGCTGTCTGGGCCAAAGGCATAGGGAATGTCCCATACTATATCCATATGTGATTATCCAGAAAACGTAATGAAGATGAAGATTCACCCAACAAGCTCTATACTTTGGTTTCCTATGGACCTGTTACCACTTTCAAAAATCTACAGACAGTCAATGTGGATGAGAACTAACTGGTGAGACACATCAAATAAAGCAATAAAACCAAAAAAGAAAAAAAAGGATAATGACAATTCCCATCAAATGACTATTCTATTAATTAAATCCTATAGATCAATCTTAATTTTTTAAATAACTAGAATATAATAAAATACCCAATATTAAAACTATGTTGAACATAAATTTAATTTTTCTTTTAAGGAAGTTTTTTTTTTTGAGACAGAGTCTTACTATGTTGCTCTTGATAGAGTGCGTGGCATCACAGATCACAGCAACCTCAAACCTTTGGGCTTAAGCGATTCTTTTGCCTCAGCCTCCCAAGTAGCTGGGATTACAGGTGCCCACCACTATGCCCGGCTATTTTTTTGTTATTATTGTCACTGTTGTTTAGCAGGCCCAGGCTGGGTTTTTTGGCCCACCAACCCCGGTGCATGTGGCCCATGCCCTAACCACTGAGCTCGGGGTGCTGAGCCTTAAGGAACTCTTCTTAAGAAAATCCTTTTAAACTCCTACACCTCAAAGATATCATTTAGGTGATACTTAGTGATGTCCGCAAAATAATTGTGGCTGTGGAAGTTATAAGACATTGGGCCATGACTATGAATCTCTAAGGGGTATCTTGCAGGGGATATAAAAAACAAGGAGACCTTCCAACCCAGAGGGAAGCTGTCGGGCAGACAGAAGTCACATGGTCCACAAGGAAGGTATGATTGGAAATGAGAAAATATAGTACAATCCCCTCAGATAAGCTGGCTGACTTCAGGTTGAGCTCCCTACAATAGCCTGAGATTTGTTATCCAAAATATTGTGGGTTCAGCTCAAAAAGGTAGCAACTTTGGGTGTTCCACTAGGCAAAAAATGATGGAAAGAAAGGGATCAAGGGAGGAGAAAAGTGTCCTTACCCCTGCTCTCCTTTTTATAGGGAATAATCCAGACCACTTGAAAATGAGTCATCGCAACCTGGATGATCTGGGCCCCTTGGATCTGAACGTGATAGTCTCATGACTACATTTTCCAGCCCAGAACTAATCCTTACCCAGGATCTCAAAGTCAAGGCATGAGTCAGAAACGTCTCACAGACGTTAATATCTGTGGCCTCATGAGAATTTCAGCTGTTTTCTGCTCTCAACTCACTGCTCCAGTGAACCTAACCCAGTGACTGTCCTGGGGCTACTAAAGTTCTCTAGCTCTGCGGACAGTCCTTGCATCTCAGAGGGCTTTACCCTCCAGCTCAAAACCCAGCTTGAATCTGACTTTCCCTACCAAACCTGAAGGCTCCTCTTGACAGGAATCTCTCAGTTTGATCTTTCACTGATTGTTCCATTTTTCCAGGCAGGGTTTTTGCCCTGAGGAAGCCTATCAGGCATGGCCCGGGCTGGGGGTGGGGGGTGGGGGGTGGGAGTGGGGTGGCAGTTTTCTACACAAGAAACTGAGAACTCAGAGAAGAGTCAGAGAACAGAACAGACAACAACCATGGTGTCCGTGAGGCTGGGGTTACCTAGGAGGGCTCCGGGAGAAGGACCTATTAGGATTTGGACACAAGTGAATAAAGGGGAAAAGACAATCTAGGCCAGTGGTTCTCAGCCCATAGGAACTGTATTAAAGGGCCGCGGCAGTAGGAAGGTTGAGAACCACTGGTCTAGGCAGAGACTGACACAGGCATGTACAAGTGTCTCTTCAGAACTAAGCAGAGATGAATGAACAAGGTGGTGGCACAGGGAGGGGACCCATGGGGAGGATGTAATTGGTGCTCACACACACCTTGTGCTCGATATGTTTCAGGCACTGCATCACATGCTTTAGAATGAACTACTGAATTGAATCATCAGAGCAACCAATTAAGACAGGTAGTAAAATCTCCCTTGTTACCCAGAAGAGGCACCGAGAGTCTTAGTAACACACTGGCAAACTAGCAAAAACCACAGCTAGGATTTAACACAGGACATCGAATCTCACAGCCCTACTATTAATCACTGGACCATCCCTTTGATTGTAAAACTGGGGAGGTATTTATCTATGATTTTTTACAAAAATATTCTTAAATTTTTGGTATGGTTTTAAAAAAAAATAGTTTAAGGCCAGGTATGGTGGCTCACACCTTTAATTCCAGGTACTCTGGGAGGCCTGCTGGAGCTCAGGAATTTGAGACCAGCTTGCACAAAAGCAAGACCCCATCTTTATCAAAAATGAGCCAGGCTTGGTGGTGGGTGCCTGCAGTCCCAGCTATTTGGGAGGCTGAGATAGGAGGATTGCTTGAGCCTGGGAGTTTGAGGTTGCTGTGAGCTAAGATGATGCGCAGCACTCCAGGGTTACTTTTTGTGTCTCAAAAAGACGAAAACAAAAAAGAGCTTAGTCATTTTTTCTCAGAGTTACAGACTATGTGTGCTTCACACAACTGCTTAAACTCAGAGCATAATTAGGGGCAATGAATTTCACCACACAATGCCTCAGGTAGCACAGAGCACTGCCCAGCAGGCTCCTGAGAAGCACCAGGAGAACCTCTTCTAGCTTTGAGCTAAGAAGTGTAGCCAGATGTGTCTGCGACTCACAGCAAGGAAGAGCCTCCATCACCCAGTGAGGAGGGATGTATACATTGCCCCGAAAGACCGAGGAGAATTTCTGGCAATTAATGTTCCATAACCAGCATGTTTTTAGGCCTGGCCTAAAAAAACTGGTCATCAATATCCAAAACGTGGCTCTGAACCACAAAATGTCTCTGAGAGGTTAGCATAAATTTTCCCAGATTCAGTTTAAAGCCATTTCCTCTTAGAAAGTAGCTGATTATCATCTGCTGACTATTAAGCTACGAGGTACTTAATATCCATTTGGGGTTTCAGTCTAGCCAAGTCAAATTCTGCCTGCGTTCTGGAGCCTTTTTACAAGCAGCAATATTACTTCTGGGCATCTTTTGTAACCATCCCCTCCTATCTTGCTGACCTCATCCTGGCTTGGGGGTGCAGTTCCTGACTCTTAGACAACCCCAGCCTAGCTCTTATAGGAATCTATAAACTTCCCAAAATAGAACTAACCTTTATTTTGCTTCCGGCAGTAGTTGGGCGCCCTTTCTTGTCAGCTTGCAGATTTTCCGGAAATAAAGACTTTATAAAAGGTCTGGAAAAGGAGAAAGAGAATGGATTACCTCGGGGGCTGAAAGCCTGCTTCCTTAAAGGATAGGGTGGAGGGTTGTCCAGAAGCACAGAACCTTGGCTACAGAATAGCCATGTGACTCATGGTACAAGCCATGAGGATGTGATTTGGGGAAATGAACAACGGACCAAAGAGATAAACAGAAAGAATTCTAAGACCTAAGTATCTCAAAGACTGAGCCTGCAAAATAAATATACAACTCTGCCTTTCAAACGTCCCCAGTGGAATTGAGATGCACTTTGATAGAACATGATGGAGGGAGGTCGCTATGGGTCTGTTAAGACAAACCAGATAGACCAGAGGTCAGGGAATGATAAGAAATGCCTGGATTCAGTGCTGATGCTGCTTTGTTCCAGAGCAGGGTTTCTGGCCCTGTGCACAACTGCTATGCATGGTTGGCCAATTCTTTGCTGGGGGACAGAGCTGGGGGAGGGGTAGGTGGTGCAACTTCTCCTACACCTTGTGGGATATTCAGCAGCATCAGTGGCCTCTGCTCACCAGATGCCAGCAGCACTTTGTCCCCACTGCCCCACCAAAAACCTTGACAAACTGCTTTTGAGCATGGGCAATTTTAACTGGAACAGTAACAAATCACTGAAGCTTGGCCTGCTGAATACATTTTCTTTAGTGGTGCAAACTGAACTGTATGTGTTTACAGGCCAGCCTCAGCAGCAGGGACAATGGCTAAATCACCACAGTGCCCCTGGTGACGGAAGCATAGCCTGGTACACAGTAGGTGCATACTAAATATTTGCTAACTGAGCAAATGAAGTGATCCACGTAAGCTAGCAATCTGACTTTCGGGGCATCTTGAATTTTCTAGGAAGTCTCTCCAGCAATCTACTTTAAGCTTGGCCAGACACAATTATACATTTTTGCAGCAAATGTGTTTTATAAAACAATAGGTTAGGAGTTTATGCGGCAGCATTAATAGCTCTTGAACTGGATAGGAATTTTAATAATTAAAACTAAAAATTTAAAAAAAACCTCTGGAAAGCGAGTCTGTACCTGACTGCCATAAAACCCACAAGCCAGGACTTGTGGCTTACCTGACTTTCACAGAGAAGAGCAAATGGATTTGATGTGTTTTGAATGAAAAGAAATCCAAAGTCTCCAAAGTGGTGGTAGTTCAAGGCAGTGCAGCAGGGGAGAGGGAGGTAAGAAGAGGGGAGTGAGGGAGAGAAGGGGAAATAGGAGAGAACAGCCCTGACCAGAGCCTGGAAAAGAAACCCTTGTTTGTAGCTTCTATTGCACTCCAGCCCTTAGAAAGTTACCAGGCTTGCTGCTGTTGACCAGAGAAGCTAACCTCGATGTTCCGACTGCTTAAGCAACAAAGCTAGCAAGGGTAGCTCTTCCTTGGGGACAGCTCTAAAAATTCTAAGAGCTGGAAGGCTGCGCGCAGCTCATAAGGGCCTGCTCATGTAAATTACCTCTCCTTACGTTACCCAGGGAGGGAGAGGCTTGCAAGGGATATACCTCTCCTGCTTCTACCCCTATAGGATCTGAGTGAATCCCTATCTGATTGTCCCTTTCAGAATTCTCAAGCCATTTCCCAAGTGCTTTGGGGACTTAGGCTAATTAATGTGGGTCTTGCTGGGCCATTTAGCCATCTGTAAAAACTGAACGCCTATGGAGAATTCTTGGCATGATGTTCCAAGGGCAAAGTACCATAGAACAAACCTGTTCCACTCTTTTTTTTTTTTTTTTGAGACAGAGCCTCAAGCTGTCCCCCTGGGTATAGTGCCGTGGCATCAAAGATCTCAGCAACCTCCAACTCCTGGGCTCAAGCGAGTCTCCTGCCTCAGCCTCCCAAGTAGCTGGGACCACAGGTGCCCACCACAATGCCTGGCTATTGTTTGGTTGCAGCCATCATTGTTGTTTGGTGGGGGCCTGGACTGGATTTGAACCTGCCACCTTAGGTGTATGTGGCTAGTGCCTTAGCACCTATCTCGCTCTTAAAGGGTTGTCCCAATCCAAATCTAGCATGGCCACTTCTCCTTGATAATAGTATAGCAAATGATTGTTGTTTGGTGGGGGCCCAGGCTAGATTCGAACCCGCCACCTTAGGTGTATGTGGCTGGTGCCTTAGCACCTATTCCCTCTTAAAGGGTTGTCCTCATCCAAATCTAGCATGGCCACTTCTCCCTGATAATAGTATAGCAAATGATGAAGCCTAGGACCCTGATGGACGTACAGATGACACTTGGAATTTGGGAGCATGAAGTGTGAGGGGCAAAGGTTGGAAAGACTTGAGATCAGAATAAGGAAAGTTATTTTGAGAAACCAAATAGTCCAATTACAATACAGACCCAACAGCTCAAAGGAGCAAAATGCTAACCATTCAAATGCCACAGGTTTGTTTTCATATTGACAATTTTATCAACCTATGTCCCGTATCAGATGATGCGGAACATACTTACAGCTCACTGCTCTGCATCAGCTCAATCAGATCCATAAAAAGCACATCACGGTTTCTTTCACAAAAGCCATCCATGTCATAGGATACCTGGCCAAGAATGGAAAGAAATCTAGTTTTATCCTTTAGGCATTTCATTGGACAAAATCACAAGCTGGCATGGCTGCCCTCACCGCAGCGTGGGTATTTCCACACGTAGCACTTGGGATTTTGTTGTGCACTGCCGCAGAAGCTGTGCTTGTCTCATTCAGCTTGGCAGCTGGCTCAGCGGGGAGTGGCTTTCGGGGACTGGTGACTATCTGGCTTGCTAGATGGCTCAGATTATCTATGGTCAGGACTCCAGTTCTCAAGATCACATACCCTTTTTTTTTTTTTTTAATGGATCCATAGGAATGTCTAAGTCATAAACTCAATTCTTTCCTAAATCTCAGAGAATAAAAGTGAAAGCCCTCATGCTCATTAATCCCTTACAGTGAGCCCTGCCCTCTGAGGCTTTGCAATTTCTTTTTCTTTTTTTTTTTTTTT